TCAGTGACTTGTGTTTGCTTGCCATTGTGGGCTCTCTGCATACTTATGATACTTTTATTCGTGGCACATGGCACTGAATGTAAATTTTTGCCATTTAATCTCACACCAGACTCAGTATGACGGACACTTTGTGCTTGATGTGAGAGTCTTGACTGTACTAGCGCCTACCGCGCCTTAAAGAGCATTCACCATTGTTTGTCCTTTCTTCGGTTGTTGGTTTTTAGACGCGTGTTTCCATATCAAAATCTGTACATACTTCGGGATTCATCTCATAAGACTGGAACTGTTCTTGGCATGATTTCGAATGAGACGTTTCTCACTTTTCTCTCATATTCTCCTGTTACCCTTTCGCATTCATCGCTTGCATTCATTTTTATGTTTGTGACCATGATTATCAGACGGTTGCTAAACAAACAATCAGAGAGTGATCTGAATGACATGATAAAGCAAAAGCTGTGATACGGAGAGTGACTTCGGATTTTGCCTATCAGTCACGTGATTTCTGACTCTGGGCAGAGGTGTCTGTTAAAGACCAGACACAGACACGTTGCGTTTTGTGAGTGGAATAAAACATTACGTGTTCCAGCGCAACTGAAAGAATGGAATATGACCTGAAAAGCCCCAGAGTTCTCTCGCTATGTTGGAGGTTCCCTTCTCTAATTGCCTACTCACTGCGGGTATCCACTACTCCACAAGCTGGATTTGCATGTATGAACCGGTGAACATGTTTACGCCTAAGTGATTGACCCGATGGCTCGAAAGACGACTCAGTAACTGTTCTAGTTCTATCAGACGGTTGGCCCGCCTCTCGATACTTCCCAATCAAGGAGCCATCAGTCCAAGGGAGGAATGCTCATAAGAGAGTGGTGCGCTGGTAGAGTAGTGCTAACATGCTCGCTTCAAATGTCAGATGCCCAAAGTTTCAACTCCAACACGGCCTAGGATACATGCTGTTGATGAGCTCTAATAAGGACGAAACTCGAAATCAGCGCTTTCCCCCATTGGTGTTAAGGTTGCTGAAAACTCCTCGACAGCTCACCATTGGTTTTGCCCTTCTTGGGGCTCATCAGCTAGGCGTTTCCATCAACCTTATGTTCCACTTGAAACCAAGTTGCACGAAATTAGCGAACTACACTCATTTGTAGTATTTGCGTTACACCAGTCGGTCACTTTCAACTTTTTGGCCAGTGATATTGAAAGCAGAACAAAGCCGTTGGCGGAACCGGCAAGTACCAGCACTCCGGGCTAACGGAAAATAGACTTATTGCATCTAAGCATAAAAAACGCGCTCCTTCGGCATCCAGTTACTTTTCATCCATCAATGCGCTTCACTGAAACATCCAGATTTGGTGAACTTACTGGCATACACACCGTATTGAAACGGGTGCGTAAAGTGACCGGCAGTTACTGCGGGACATCTGCTTATATCGAGTTTCACTCTGGAGCCAGATGGAGTTGAGCGCATCCAAGACATAGTTGTTGAACGCGCACACTACATATTATATGCAAGAACAAATGAATCAAAGAGCAACTGCCCTGTGATGCACAAAAAAAAACAGGCAACTCCACTAACACTTGGTGGTTGCAGGAATTGTAGACAGTCACATGACTGTCGTTTGAACAATCGTCCTCCTGGTGCTGCAACAAATGGGGGGAAGTGGTGGACTCGAGCTTCGCCCCTATTGGAGCTCGTTATTAGTTCATATCCTTGGCCGTTCCGGGGTTCGAACTCCGCATATTTGGCGCGCGAGGCGAGAGTGTTTTCAATACTGAATGTTTATGAAAGTTTCTGGAAGTTGTAGGACAAGGTTACTAACTCGACTAGAGGGACTGTTTCATCGAAAGTCTATCACTGACAGTTTTGAAGTAAGGTTGTACAACCTGCATGACATCAGCAACTAGAAACCGTTTTTTGTCAGGGAAAAGGTGATATTGGGACAGTGGCGTTGTGGTGGGTCAGCGTTCGATCAGCAAATCAATGATCAGCAATCGTTCGGCTGTAACATCCTTTCGGTGCGTAGCTGCCATGCCACCAGAGGGAAGCACGGGGCGGCTGACGTACTTCCAATTTGGCCAAGCCTAGACACTGAGCGGTCAAGATGCCCGGGTTGAACTGGAATCAGAGATATTCCGGTCAATAAGCTTCTGCCCTAATACAAAACGCTTCTTCATCTTTTTGTTCCGCCAGAGCCATCAGCCGTTTTCTGGCCACTGTATAAAGTTTTGTAGTCCAGTAAATATATATGTTGACCAGATCCACTCCCGAGACTGGATTGGATCGATGCAAGTGAGTGTATTTCGCCAAATCTACAATGTTTGACGTTCAAGTACAGTAGGAATTTGGTTAAAACTGGCAGAATAGGCTTACTTGATGAGCACCAAGAAGGAAAAAACGCTTCGAGTAGTAAGCTGTCGAATCAAGTGATTTCAACTATGCAAAAGTGTTTTGAGAATAGGAGATATTTCAGCCGGTTTGCAGACGTTTATGGCTAGTGAACAGAGTTCACATGATTTTGAATTTTAGACACTTTTGGGAATAGAAAAGACCAAACGTTTTAAGAGGGGAGGGGCTGGCTGATCGGGTGACCAATAAAAACAAAATACTTGCGATCGATGATTTCTAATCTTCGATCGATGGTATAGAAATGGGGTAAACTCTAAATTTGGATCATGTTTTCTCGCTTATTGTTACCGATATATGAGGGACTCAAGTACGAATCCCCATTATACCTCAATTTGTAGCTCGGAGTATGCCCCCATTCCCAAACCATGAGAAAGTGTGTTCCAACTGAGAATTTGCTTACCGAATGACTTGTCTACGGAATTTCGCTTGTTGTTGGAATTTGAATAAAGCGTCTTTTACGAAACCAAGTGTTTACCTCGATGCAATAATCTTTACTGCGAGTGTTGTCCTCGACGGTTGACTCGTTCAAGTTATACGCGCGTTTTCCCCGCACATTTTAAGGCATCAACAACGCATCTTCCTCCACCCCGTCTTTACATACTCAGTTTATGCGTGGGTGAGGGGTGTCGAGTGAAATCGAGAGCCGTTTGGAAGTTTGCTTGATTAGAAGCGAAGTTTGTCCCAGTGAATGCGATTCGTCGGACTGATGTGAACGGAGTGGACTCCTCTCCAGACAATCAAATCAGAAGACTAAATTTCAATTTCAGTGAACGAGGAGGGCAAGATGCAGGCGGTGTGGGAATCAAGCCAGCCTGAAACAAGCACTAAATGTTTCAAAACAGTAAATTGGATGCAAAATGTGTGAGTACTACTCAGCGACGAGACATGTGTAATATGGATGAAGGGAAGAAGGCTTTCACTGCAAAGTTATTTATTAGAAAATGCCAGCTGAGCAGATTGTTGGACAGGAAAGCGAGACTCTCATATGTGGCTTGTTTACAAAAACTGAATATCCATCTTCTCCTTGAGGACGTCTTCCAGAACTTTCCTGGATATTCATTGGCAGTTGCTCAAATGCAATCAAACGCGACTCCACAAATTCCTTAATCGATCTCACTTTTCAGGAGACGCAAGGTGGATTTACTAGAAAACATACTACTAGCATGTCCACAATCAGTAGTATCACCGATACATGGGGGTAAAAAAACTGACAGTTGTTACCAATCTAGTTGGGTGAGTGGTCGAACTTCAGTCATTTAGACAGCCCCAGAGGACATCCGGCGTCTCATCATTGTCTGAATTCCCACGAATTCGTTCTACTTGGGGCATTATACGTATGTGAATACGTCAAATGCCACGTCAGCTTTACTAATTGACGACAGAGATCATGCATCACACGCGTATGTTCATGAAGACATAAGGTGTGTTGATCCTTTGTTGAACGATGCGCCGTGTTTTATTCATAAACATCACATCCATTTGAAAGGTCCTGAATCAGATTGTTTTTTTTAAATTCGTATTTGTTTTCATGACGAGCCGCTAAGTTAACCAACTGCACGCGGACTTTGTATTAGCACGTGAAACTACAAGTAAGAGTCACGTGTGCGTTCAAAGCGTTTCGCAAATGATGTGGAGTGCCTGCGTGATACCCATGACCGTGTCGATCATAGCAGTAAAGCTCTCTTAGGTGGGTTTAGGTTCTGGTTGCGAAGTACTAACTAAACTGATCGGATGAACCACGTTGTTGAGCACGGCTCACGGCGTTCACCGCCATGGAAATAACTTATTGGTTTCTCGATTCGGGTGACGCTGAACATTGGAACCCGCAGTTCTCATGGGACAGGGTTACGATATCGCTTGTTTTCTTCTGAAAAAATCCTGCAAAGCCACATTTCAAATGAATACACGAAGCCATCCACAAAACTAGTTTCCTTTCTTGACCGTTCTCCGTGTATCACAACAAGTAATGTCAACCACATAGACGGTTATTCGCCCGACCGAATGGCAATACTGTTCCAGAGAGCTTTATTCCCATCTTCAGAAGTACAGTTCTCAAAGTCCAGAGTGTCCGTGTCAGAGGAATAACCTAAAATCTGCCTTTCTCTGACCTCGGTTGTGGTCGAAAGAAGTCTACAGTGAAAGTAAACTTTGGAAGACTAACTGCAATTGTTGTCTGTTCTGGGAGCTCACCGCGTTTGACAGTGGTGTTTCACAAAGGGCACTTCCGTTGATCGTACATCTTACATGTGAATACTTGACTTTGTTCCAAAAGTGGGCGGAAGCAAGTACTACAAGGCTTATTATCATCAACACCTCAGTTATAGTACATGGCATTTTATTAATACTATTTCTACTAGATGGCTCAAGTGGTTAGAGAGCGAATTTACTGACCGAAAGTCCGTGGTTCCGGCCTCTGCTCTCGACTTCCCCCGTCTAGGTTTGAGCAACCTGGAGTTATTCCAACCCTCCTACTTCCTTCGGGTAGCATGGCAGCTAGGCACAGGAAGGGTGTTACCGCTGAGTGACTCCCACTGGTGGACACTACTAATGAGGCATGCGAGTAATGTGTCCTCGCAACTTTGCTTCGCATCTATTGGAAGTTGGGATTTAATACGGAATCTGTGGAATTGCTTTTTGGAATTTAAATTTGAGTAATGGTCAATGAGCATTCATGAACGTTCAGGAAGACGCGTTAAGAAGAAGGCGGATATTCAGTTTTTATAAACAAGAGGCATATGAGAGTCTCGCTTTCCTGTCCAACAATCTGCTCAGCTGGCATTTTCTAATAAATAACTTTGCAGTGAAAGCCTTCTTCCCTTCATCCATATTACACATGTCTCGTCGCTGAGGGTGTTAAAGTAAGAAACCCACGCAGATTTTCCACAGACACTTACAACTTCTCCAAAGCTGTCTTCAATCAAATGGGCAAACTCAGTTTGACGAAGTTCAGATAAGCGGAAATGCTTTTCTGAAGGGACAAAACAGACTCTCTACTGTACACATAAAAATGCTGAAAACTCTCCGCCAGCCCACGACCGGTTTTGCCCTCCTTGGGGCTCATCAGGTAGGCGCAGTCCCCGAGTTTCCGTCAGCATTATGTTCCACTTGAACCTAAATTGCTCGAAATTAGCAAAGTTTATCCTGGAACCCAGATGAATCTCTCGTTTGTGATGTCTCCAGGCAACTGGGAGTGCCACACCAGGCCGCCTCACGTTTCAGTTGCTACGATATTGGAGATATCAAAATAGGGTATATATATGTATATATAGACAGCCCAAGACCTGTTTCACTTTTCTTGGGGCTCATCAGGTAGGCGCAGTCCCCCAGTCTCCATCAAACTTATGTTCTACTTAAAACCAAAATGCTCGAAGTTAGTGAACTACACTCAGTGGCAAACAAATCTGGTTTTGCGAGAGACTTATGTGGAACCCGTCTAGATCTATCGTCTGTGATGTTTTTAAGTCAACTGTTTTGAGTTTCAGTAAACCTTCAAAGACATCGCACAAAAGCGACTAGTTCAGGGTGACAAATGTTAGAACTACAGAATTGACAGCCTTCCCCATACCAGTACAAGCTCCTGCTAACTCGTCTGAAGAGCGTTACGGATAGCCTAAAGAAAGGATAAGTCCAACAATCTCAATTACCTAGATCAATTGCTGTATGCTGGGTCGGAGAACGGACACGTCCTCATTTCACAAAGTGTCTACCGGAGTAAGATCCCTTCCTTTGTGTCGAGACTTAAGATCACCAGCACAGTAGTCATTGACGGAATAAACATGAGGGTGAGAAGTAAAATGGGCATAGCGGTAACTTAATCGCATTTGAGGTTGTATGACAAAGAAAGCGAAAATAGTAGCCCAAAAACCCGGTGATAGGATAACTCCAATTCGGGTTGACAGAAGCTTGGGGACTGCGCCTACCTGATGAGCCCTAAGAAGGGCGAAATCAGTCGTGGAATGTCGACGATTTTTCAGCAACCTTGTGAGTAGTGCTTTCCTCAATCCGCTAAGGCTGTTATTGGACTGGGACTTCCTAAGGTGGCAGTCAGTGACTTGTGTTTGCTTGCCATTGTGGGCTATCTGCGTACTTATGACACTTTTATGCGTGGCACATGGCGTTGAAGGTACATTTTTGCCATTTAATCTCACCCCAGACCCAGTATGACGGTCACTTTGTGCCTGATGTGCGAGTCTTGACTGTGCTAGCGCACACTGCGCCTTGAACAGCATTCACCATTGTTTGTCCTTTCTTTGGTTGCTGGTCTTTAGACGCGTGTTCCCATACCAAAATCTTCACATGCTTTGGGATTCACCTCATCAGACTGGCACTGCCCTTGGCATGATCTCGAATGAGACGTTTCTCTCTTTTCTCCCATATTCTCCTGTTACTCTTTCGCATTCATCACTTGCACTCACTTTTTATGTTTGTGATCATGCTCTTCAAAAATAAAAAATAAATGATAGTATGATTGTATCGCGATATCTCGAATATCGTAGCGACTGAAACATGAAGCGGTCTGGTGCATTGCATTCAGTTGCCTGGAAACATCAGCTGGGTTCCAAGTGTGTCTCCCGTCAAAGCAGAATTCGCTAACACGGACCCTAATTTGAATGTATTCATCGTTTGCCGAACTTGGCTGTCTGATAGTTTGGACCGTCTTGTAGTGTTTAAACTACTAGCTGGAAAATCGCGGGGTCAGAACTCCTTGAAGTTTCATGAGATGAGTGTTGATGATGACTCCAAATCAGGACCTGAGGACCGTACAGCTCATCTCTGCTTTTCAGTATAGACCAGCCTCACTTTGAGGACAAGATTTCGGTTGAAGAACTCCCAAATCCCTCACTTTACTGATATCTGTATGTAGTTCCAAAAGAAGAATAATTCACAAGGCAGCATTCAAAATATCACAGTATACTCTCCTGAAAGCGCGCTACTCATACGGTTGCTGAAAACTCTTCGACAACTCCCCACGAGATTTGTCATTCTTGGGAACAGGAGAGAATCTGTCGAAATAACGATCTAATTGAACTCAACTTTTGCAAAATACATTCGTGTCATTCAAAACCCGGCCACTTGAACGCCTTCCGTATTCTGTAGCACAACCTGTTGAACGGAAAATCGCGCCACATTTGGGCACACTTTGCACCAAGATCCAAGTCACGATAACCGAGCAGTAAAACCAGTACAGAGTGAAGGGTCAAAACAGCTGATGAATATTCCGTCAGGAGAATCCATTCAGTCTGTCTGAGCCAGTGTAGAACTAGCTTGAGTCTTGAGCCGCAGACACACTAAGACGTATCCAATGAGGGCGCCGGACACTGTTCATTCACCGTAACTCAAGTCTAATCTGGTCCCTGGTCAAATTGTCCATCGCCAGCTGAACTCTACTCGCGTCCAACCACAGGACAACGCTCGCACAGACTGTATGATGTTCCGTGTTCCCAAACACGGAGGCTCTGAGGCTTTCTTGGTTTTACGTATCCATTAATCCTAATTAACAAACACGTAAAATCATTGTACTATCTCTCATCAGATAACGCTGTACACAGTTTGCAACCGAAAGAGAGCCCATCTCGTGGCGTTTTCTAGTCCTACCGGCTCGTTTTAATCGAAAATCATTGAATTCAAACAACACGTGTTCCTCCGCGTGATTTACCCACGCAAATCGATTTTAGACCATATACTGTCCAATTTTCTATCCATCTGATTGTGGTGAGTTTTTCTTCCAACCTGTGGGTCTCTGTTGATGGTGCGCTCCAAGCTGACAAAATACCACACTACAAATGATCGACTGTGGCCACACTGCGTTTGTAGAAACCTCTTCTGTTCGCACTTGAGGAAGCCAAATCTTGTGATTATTCGTCTGTTATGGAAAATCGATAAAAATGATTCGTTCTTGTCAGACAAAACTTTAGTGATCGAAACCGGCCAGACAAGAAGAAAGCGATTGACGCTGCTTTGGAATAAAAACTCCTTGGGTGAGGTTACTGCATTTTGGAACGTAATCATATTGGACCAAGCAGGACTTAAAACACGGATGTTTTAAGCACTGCAGTGCCGGGGATGGTGTTTGGACTACTGAAGTACTGTGAGTAGATGGACAGCCACAGCTGCACAAAAACGTTGTCGCCTCGAAGATTAGGTAGATCTTGTAGGGAATATTGTGAAACGGTTTATTAGAACGGACACTCGCAAATCTTTTTTACCGGATAATATTCAGCGACCTCCAGCTGATAGCCATCATCTTGCTCTGGCACCCGGCCTTGACTGTTGTAGCTGATCAAGTTGTCCGAAATTTCGTTTATCCAGGCCAGAAAGTTTGAACAGAAACCCACCAAAGACTTGCATAACGACTAACCGTATTTTGAGGCTGTTTGGCGCAACAAGGCCGTTCGAAAGTGCAGTTTTCCCCTTAGTGGTCTCGCTTGTGGATGCACTGATGCTTTCTCGTCGTGAGGACGGACGAGTTAGAAAAGGCCAGTTCTAAATTCCATCCACTCGATGGCTGATCACAGCGAGCTATCCAGTAATTTTCAAAATATTTTTACGATTCAAACCACTATACAGCAGCAATAGAAGTCGGAGAGTTCTGACCCATGCCTTGTGTACACCGGTTGGGCCACCACTCAATTTCAAGCAAACTAGATAGTCCAGTCCTTGCGTTCAGCAACACTGCCCCAAGTAAAGATAATGGTTCTTCGGAACGTGGCTTTAAACAGGGAAACAAAGGGGAAATGACAGGAGGGGTTCGAATATGAAGGGCAGTAAACTCCCACAAACCAAGAGGACTGAAAACACGCATTTTGTTGATTTAGAACTTCGAACATTGGGACTTTTCATCACAAGGTCGGAAGCCACAAACCTGTTAACCGTACAGCCCTCGTAACTAAGGGTCTGAAACACAATCGGGCCAGACAAAAAGCGATTGACGCTGCTTTGGAATAAAAACTCCTTGGGTGAGGTTACTGCATTTTGGAACGCAATCATATTGGACCAAGCAGGACCTAAAAGACGGATGTTTTAAGCACCGCAGTGCCGGGGATGGTGTTTGGACTACTGAAGTACTGTGAGTAGATGGGCACAGCTGCACCAAAACGTTGTCGCCTCGAAGATTAGGTAGATCTTGTAGGGAATATTGTGAAACGGTTTATTAGAACGGACACTCGCAAATCTTTTTTACCGGATAATATTCAGCGACCTCCAGCTGATAGCCATCATCTTGCTCTGGCACCCGGCCTTGACTGTTGTAGCTGATCAAGTTGTCCGAAATTTCGTTTATCCAGGCCAGAAAGTTTGAACAGAAACCCACCAAAGACTTGCATAACGACTAACCGTATTTTGAGGCTGTTTGGCGCAACAAGGCCGTTCGAAAGTGCAGTTTTCCCCTTAGTGGTCTCGCTTGTGGATGCACTGATGCTTTCTCGTCGTGAGGACGGACGAGTTAGAAAAGGCCAGTTCTAAATTCCATCCACTCGATGGCTGATCACAGCGAGCTATCCAGTAATTTTCAAAATATTTTTACGATTCAAACCACTATACAGCAGCAATAGAAGTCGGAGAGTTCTGACCCATGCCTTGTGTACACCGGTTGGGCCACCACTCAATTTCAAGCAAACTAGATAGTCCAGTCCTTGCGTTCAGCAACACTGCCCCAAGTAAAGATAATGGTTCTTCGGAACGTGGCTTTAAACAGGGAAACAAAGGGGAAATGACAGGAGGGGTTCGAATATGAAGGGCAGTAAACTCCCACAAACCAAGAGGACTGAAAACACGCATTTTGTTGATTTAGAACTTCGAACATTGGGACTTTTCATCACAAGGTCGGAAGCCACAAACCTGTTAACCGTACAGCCCTCGTAACTAAGGGTCTGAAACACAATCGCACAACCAGGCTGGTGTCAGGTGCTCAGTATTCGCATAATGGAATCGATTTTTCGAAAGCTACGACGTGTGCCTGATGGACTAAAAGATACTGGTGCAATGGTGATACTACTGATGGGGAAGCATGCAAGTAGTATGTTTTGTTCTTGTAAATTTGCATTGCGTCTCTTGAAAAGGGGGAGCTGTTGTGGAATTTTTGGAGTCGATTTGTAGC